CCACAATTGGGTCCAAAATTTAGGTCACTAAGCAATGTGGTTGCTAAGCAAATCATCATGTGACCAGACCTGATTTTAACAACCTTTTTTGCAGTGTTCATTAAGCGAATCATGTAGTCATTAAGTAAATCACGTGGTTCCCCACTGATTTTGTTTGCCAGAAGACCACTGGGAAGGTTGCAAATGGCGACTGTGTGACCCCGGGACTGCAACCGTCATAAGTATGAGCTGGTTGCCAAGTACCTGAATTGCGATCACGTGACCACTGGGGTGCTGTGATGGCTGTAACTTCAGGCACTGGTCACAAGTCACATTTTTAGCGCCGCTGTAACTTCAAACAGTTGCTAAACTAATGGTCATTAAGCGAGGACTACCTGTATTTAATTACTATCCAATTATTATCCACCAAACTGATAGGCGTTTTCAACAGAACTGTTTTACAGTTGTGTCACTAAACCAACATGAGAAGATAAGGAATGTCATAATACTCTTACGCTTTTCAGATTAGTATGTTTCACTTTCCTGTTTGATTTTTCCCATTAGTCCCTTCTTAATGCTATGGCACAGAATTGTATCAGCTGAAACTAGAAAGACATTTGAAACTCTGTTTTAAAACGAGCTATTAGTTAGCTGGTAAGTATACAATGAGAATACAAAGAGTTGGGGAAAATAAAACATTAAAAATGAGCGGAGCATGAACATCCAAGAATAAAGATAAAAACAAGGTACACTCCCCACCTCTTCAACTTAAAAGACTGAAAACTATACACCTGCAGTAAACCTCTTGAGATCCAGTGACAATGTGACGCTTTCTCTCATCTGAATTAACAAAGGCTCCAGAAGCCAGTATTGTCAAGAGTAAAAACAGCATAAGAAAAAGATGATGACAAGATACAAGGCATAAATAATGCAAAGCTTGCCATAAAGTGATGATTTGGAAAGGTTTTGTTACTGCAAATTTATTATCTATTGACTGGAATTAACTTAATGGGAAAAATTCTCATTTGGGGCTATGCAAATGCTGCCATCCTTTTAATTAACTCCAGGTTTGATTTTGGAAGTTCCTCATTGATATATATATATATAAAAATTTGTGTATGCAAACTATATTCAATATATTGCATACTATATTCAATATAATTCAACTATATTGGCCTCTATAGGAAAATACGTATTTCTGCATGGGTATTATAGTTAACTTCCAACAGTTCATCCTGTAAGTTGACAACTCCAGTCTTAATAGTACAAAGGTCAGCTTTAAAATCCTAAACATTTCCTTCCATCTTTTTCCACAATATTCATGAATACTGTTAACATTCAATTTCTGTGAGTACTTTATTATTTAGAATTTGCCTTTCTTCCCTTCTGGAAGCTAGAAACCAATAACTATACTGACAATTTGATACATGTACAATCCAGATGTAACAATACATATCAAAGAATACATCAAATTTTATTCGAAGTTCAGGGGTTGATGAAGGGTAGGGTGGCTGCTATTTATGTAATACTGTATGCTCATGGCATTGTGTTCTACAGTGGGCCAAATAATAAGGATACCAACTATTTGGAAATAAGATATAAAAATATGTTGATTCAATGGACTAAGTAGACAGCTATTTAACAATTTTGCAATATGCTCTTTAGACTAAGTTTGAAGCTTCATCCCATTATATAATTCAACTGAAAGGACTCTGCTAACTTAGTCAAGAAAGGCAGCAATTCATTAGCCCCTTTAACTCTCTTTACAGTAAAAAATGAAGAATTTTAAACCATCTATTGTGTATTTGATTATCTTAAATAATATGAACAATAATCTCACTGCAGCTGATGGGGATGTGCATTCGGAAATGAAATACATGAAACAATTAAGTTCAATCAATGAATTGTACTGTACACATTTATGTTCACTATCATATGATTTACCAACCTTGGCTTGAAAGTTAATAATTGTGAGTAGAATAGAGCATCTTCTAAGAAGGACTTGCAAACTCCCACCCAGCCTTTGCTGCAGCCCCAGCTGTCCCATGCAAAGCAGAACAAGTAACAGGCGGATGATGAGGGTATGACATAGGAAGAACAGAGGGGTCAGAACCTACCTGTGGGCACCTTTCACACTGAACCTCTCTAAACCATAATATGCCATCATTTGCCTACTTTTTTTTTCTCTAAAGCAACACGTATACTTGCATATGTGTGTGCGTGTATGAGTGTATTTTGTGTGTGTGTGTGTGTGTGTATACACTCTTGTAATCATAACCATAATCAATGACAATATCATTAATAAACCATGAAATGTCAAACTGTAAGAACGTTACTCAATCCACAGATTCATCCTTTTTTATTATAACAGGTACAGTGGGGCAAAAAAGTATTTAGTCAGCCACCAATTGTATAAGTTCTCCCACTTAAAAAGATGAGAGAGGCCTGTAATTTTCATCAATACTTTGTTATATATCCTTTGTTGGCAATGACAGAGGTCAAACGTTTTCTGTAAGTCTTCACAAGGTTTTCACACACTGTTGCTGGTATTTTGGCCCATTCCTCCATGCAGATATACTTTGTTATATATCCTTTGTTGGCAATGACAGAGGTCAAACGTTTTCTGTAAGTCTTCACAAGGTTTTCACACACTGTTGCTGGTATTTTGGCCCATTCCTCCATGCAGATATACTTTGTTATATATCCTTTGTTGGCAATGACAGAGGTCAAACGTTTTCTGTAAGTCTTCACAAGGTTTTCACACACTGTTGCTGGTATTTTGGCCCATTCCTCCATGCAGATATACTTTGTTATATATCCTTTGTTGGCAATGACAGAGGTCAAACGTTTTCTGTAAGTCTTCACAAGGTTTTCACACACTGTTGCTGGTATTTTGGCCCATTCCTCCATGCAGATATATCCTTTGTTGGCAATGACAGAGGTCAAACGTTTTCTGTAAGTCTTCACAAGGTTTTCACACACTGTTGCTGGTATTTTGGCCCATTCCTCCATGCAGATTCATGGTGGAAAATAAGTATTTGGTCAATATCAAAAGTTCATCTCAATACTTTGTTATATGATGAAAATTACAGGCCTCTCTCATCTTTTTAAGTGGGAGAACTTGCCCAATTGGTGGCTGACTAAATACTTTTGTGCCCCACTGAATATATGATTGGTTTTCTTTTCTGTCCTATTTATAACTCCTTTACTTATTAAGTCGTATCGTATCTCAAGTTGAAAGCAATCAGTGGGCACGCTACAAGAGCTTCTCTGAGCTCAGCAGTCATTAAAGGGAACTGATGAGAGAAGAAAAGCGAGAGATTAAACATGTAAGGTTCAGAGCCTCACACAAGAGCATTCTCATTTAATCTGCTGAAGTGGCACATATGATATTATTCTACCTTTTATCACTGTAATTTGAAGAATGACTAGTAAAACAACTTTCAGATATGGAAGAGTAAGTTTGTGTATGAGAACCTAGATCACTAATTTAGAATATCTATTTCTCACAGTTAAGCATGCATAACATGTCAAACTACGCATTACATTAAATGCAAATGGTATAGCTGACTCTTTGATTTTTACTGTAAAATAAGCAGTGTGACTCAGACAATCACATGAGAAGTGATTTAAGCTCCTCCATTACAGTTGCTTTCTGCTGTTGTTCTCCCCTAGACTATTTGTGTGCATTTGGGTATGCATGGGCACACGTATGAATTAATCGGTATGGGTGTATATTTACATATGTAACATATGCATGTGCATAGAATCATTGTAGCTGAGCTTCTGCATAATTCTGTTCCATTTCTTTATCCACCATTTTCTGGGTTTTTTTCCCCTTTACATAGTAAACAATATTGAGTACTGATCACCTCCTAACTGGATTATGATACTGCACTCTATATAGGGCTGCCCTTGAAGAGCATTCAGAAGCTGCAGCTGGTCCAGAATGCAGCACCACAGGCAGTTTTTGGTGTTTCTCGTTCCACTCACGTAACATTGCTGCTCTCTGAGCTGCACTGGCTCCAGTAGGTTTCCAGGTGCAGTTCAAGATGCTGGTCATCACATATAAAGCCCTCCATGGCATGGGGCCAAGGTACTTGCAGGACTGCCTTTCTCCTACTGTTTCGGTTTGCCCCAGCAGATCTAGCAAAGCGGGCGTGCTCTGGGTCCCATCTATCAAACAATGCCATCTTGTGAGATCCTGGAGTCACGCCTTCTCAGTGGCAGCACCTGCCCTGTGGAACAGCATCCCCCTGGGGATTGAGGTGCCCCCAACCCTATTAGCCTTTCGCAAGGCACTGAAGACTTGGCTGTTTCCCCGGACCTTTGGATCAGCTGAGTAGATGAGCTCCACTGTTATCAATGTATCTGGAGTTACTGTTTATCTCTGGGCACTCAGGGTTGATTTTGTAGGTTTGTTTCTGCTTTAATCCTTATCAGTTACCCAGAGTCACTTGTCACTAAGATAGGCAGCTATACAAATCACACCATATAAATAAATAAAATCATAGTGAACACTTTTTGTAGCGAGAGGTCCTTTGTGGTGTGTTTTTCTCAAAATATTTTTTGCGTTATTTTTTCATTGCATTTATTTCTGCTGCAATTGCAGGACTTCTGCAAATTTCTCAGTTCTCCCAAATATAGTGTTATTTTCCATTTTGGTTACAATTCTATTGGTACTCATTATCCATGTTTATTATTAAAAAAATGTTTCCAAAGAAATTAAATTAAATCCTGGAAAGCCATAATATCTACAATACCACAGGATCAATTATATAACTGTAGATTTATTATAACCATTCAGAATCTCTGGGACTGTACGGGATAAAAATCCAAAGAGATTCAAAGTATAAATGAATTCATGTTCATTTTCTTCATACATTTCTGCTCTCCAGAATAAATGTGCTCCAACTTTGAAGATCACAAGTAACTATATATATTTATTTACTGGAATGTAAATTAATTTTCAGGCTGCTTAATAGCCAGAGAAGACTTCATTCTATGATTAACCAACTTACTTAATCTCTTAGCAGCCTCAACAGCATCATTTGCAGTGTCAGCCACGAAGAATTTCTGAACTGTAACCCCATGATCAGCCATCAGTTTCTTACTCTGGTATTCCTGCAGGTTTAGCCATCGTTTATGGGTTAACTGAATACCCTAAGAAATGAAATGGAGAAAGAAAAAAATCACAATATTAATTATGAACAATTATGCAACAGTCAACACTGCTATTGAGACTTACTGCAACTACAGATAAACCCAGCAGAAAAATGATTGAAATTTAAAATTATTATTTTGCAGGAAGTGCACTATCTTGAATCTGTATACAAAAAAACATTCTAAAATCTAAAAAGACATTAAAATGACACCTGTGTATGATGATACTTTTATTAGTATTTTATACCATCCATCTTCCAACTTAATTGCGCATTTAAATAAAATTCACTGAACATTCCCAGCTTTCTTTTTCCACACTTCTGAATCACAAAAATGACAGTATCAAGTTGTTGATTACGTTGCAATAACATTTATGGTTCTGCAAAGAAATACTACTATTACCAACGGAATTTTGTACCATTCTGAATCCTTGGTATATAAACATTTGTACTGAAATTAAATAAAAATGAAAATGGAATGGAATGGAATAATAAAATAAAATAATCACAATTTTCTCATTTGAACGGTAATGGAATTTCACCCTGACCTAGTTTCCTGACCTAGTTCTCTGGAGAAGGCTCTTATGCTGGGAAAGATGGAAAGGGAGAGAAAAGGAGAACCAGCAGCAAGGTGGATGGACTCAGTTGCAATGGTGGTGAGGCTACTATTGGAAGACCTGAAGGACCAAGGTGGGAACAGATCCTCTTGCATAAAACCTTTTTATGTGACCACTAAGAGTCGCCACAACTTGATGGCACATAATCAAACAATATATATGTTTGCCCATTACATTTCCTTCAGTTGTCACTTCAGTTTAAACATTTCATGGAACTCCAAAGCAGTAAGAAAAATAGAGCTTTGAAAATTTACACCGAAGCCAAATAGATTGCAAATAAAATGTATTTTTAAAAAGCTGGGACAACAGTACTATATAGAAAATCAGACATTTCCCACAGCTATTGGTAAGTATCCACATATGTACTAGTTAGGGAATCTCAGCTGAAACTCTTATCAGTCATAAAATGCTAGCACTTGGATCCTGCTAAATCTTCTCTCGTCTTCCTATAGATAGTTAGGTCAAAGATTACCTGTTTCATGAATTCATTTGCTGGCCCGATCCCTTCAAGAACTTCATCTGAATTCTTAGGGTGTTTCAACTGAAACCGAACCCTTAAAACGAAACTGGATGGTGCACCAGACACTGGAACATTATCAATATTCCAGGTAATATGATTGACTTAAGTTGCCTTGAAAACTTGTCACAGCATTCCTCAAAGGGGCTATCTAATTACCCTTACTTTAACAGTGAATTTACCATCCTGTTAAGCATTGCTAGAACCTGTTTGACAATGAAAGCAGACAGATGACGTTTTCAACACTAACAGCACCACAGAGTAGGTACAATACTGTGTCCTGTGAGTTGCACACTATTTACATACTGTATACTGCTATCTAAACATTATCCTATTTCATACTCTGTAATTGCTTGGCATGTGTAGCCAGTAAACTCCATCTCTGTCAACTCTGAGCCAAAATAAGAGCAGCAACTAACATATTAATTTATTTCTCAAATTTATCAGGTTGCCCAACTCCATAAATCCTTCTGTTATGACCTGACAGGTACAGCTCTGAATGGGAGATACTCCACCTAATCGTTGTTTGATTCACTTGGAGATAAACTCAACCTAATCTATATTAAGGAAAACATTCAGCATTTGGGGTGGGCAACTTTGGGGGGCCAGGATGTACAAGCAATAGCAGTTGGGGGCTGTTACAAAATAGGTGGCATACACATACATACAAAGCCAAGATGTTTCGTCCCCCCCACTCCCCCGGTTTTCTTTAACGAAAATTCTGGGAGGGAAGAGTTTTCTGCTTTTTAAACTACATGAACTTTATGTTAAGGCTCACCCTATAGATATACTACTGTACTGAGAAATTGTGTTTTATTTCTAGAAATAGTGGTCAAAGGCAGTTCCAGAGGCCAGAAAACTTAGGTTTTTTGAACTCAGATAGCTCATCCCAGCCTTATATAAGCCTGACTGAAGTGGAAAGCTCATTGTCATCTCAGCTGCTTATTCACCAAGTTACTGTTGTGAGATGGGTGCCATATAAATCATTTAAATAAATAAAATAAAAATAAATAAATAAATTATTCACCCCTTAACTTTCCTAAGGCTCAGCTACAGTCAATTCTTGTTATTCGTGGTGGTTACGTTCTATAAAATCGCCATGAACACTGAATTAGCGAATACTGAAACCTCAGCTGGGAATATCACGTCAGGTGACTCAGGTTTTTCACCGTTCTGCATGTCAGCAAATAACTGCAAAAGCATTGTGAATAGTGATTTTGTGGTGACAAATAAATTTTAGCAAGTGGGCGAATTTGCACATATGGAATCTGCGAATAACGAGAATTAACCATATAGCCAGGTATCCACTCTACCACCATGAACTTCTGACAATCAAGTAAGTATAGGCAAATAACGATAAGAAGTCGAGCTAAAGAACTACAGGACTCCTCAGAAATTTTTAAAATTACATTACGTTTCTTGTGAAATGCATCCTCCTTATGAAGGAATGGACTAACTTCTTTTGCAGCTAAACTGCTGTTCATCAGGATGGCTGGAACCCACCATTTGGAACAAAACAGTTAAACCAAGATTATTTATAACATTAATATATTGAAGTTAAACAGAAGACTCTAAAATTGATTATTATTGAACTATTTTGCATTACAGAAATATTGTGCACTTCTTTGCACATATATAATGCTTTTATACAATATTAAAGCCTTATATCAAAAACTACCAGCTCCAGCTCCCATCTGCATGCATTTTAATTATATTAAAAGCCTCCCATCCTGACTATAAGACACATATGGTTTTGTAGGCAGTAGTAGCTGTTCACTCCCACAGAAGTTAAATTAACCAAATTGGCTACTAAAAACAACTTGAACCTTTTTGCAATGAATAGACAGTAAAAAGTAATTAAAGAATGATTTCAGAAATTTACACCAGACGGTTAGATTTTAAGCCTCAAATGTTGTCAGTGTGACATACTTTCTGGACCACTTAAGTATACACATTTCAGCTTATTAAGTTGAAATATGTACAAGTCTGGGCCTTCGGGTTCCATCCTCATGGCTAGCTAGAGATGAAAATTCTTTATGTAGAATTCCCTCATAAATCCTGCTTGGAGCACATCTGGATATTTCATTGTGAGCAGATCCTTATGGGATAAATATGAGTTAGAACAAAATCCAGCTATAATTTATCCTTTCCTGGGGGGGGGGGGGGGGG